ATGCCATGTGATGTTTAAAGTATAGGTTATGCTTTAAAAATAATAAATTTATTTTTATTTTATGAATATCTGTTTATGGCTTGTTTAGTTTATAAGTTATAGGAACATTTTACAAAGCTATTTTATAAAATGTCAATCCTGTTAAAATACATTAAACGTTGAATTTAGTGGGGACTGTTCTTAGGTTTGGGTAGTTGAAAAAAATATAGCAAATATGTATGTGGTTTGTTTGTATTTTTCAACTTTTTATGGTTTCATAATGTCAATAAACTAAAACAAAAATGCATATTTTAAAATTTAGGTTAAATGTGCACAGTACTGGCCAACAGATGACCGAGAGATGCTGTTTAAAGAAACAGGATTCAGTGTGAAGCTCTTGTCAGAAGATGTGAAGTCATATTATACAGTACATCTACTACAATTAGAAAATATCAATGTAAGACTTTTCTTGCCCAAAATTTTGACTTTATATGACAGTTTAAGAATTCTTCATTATTAGATTTGAAGTTTGATACAGCACATACATTTGGATAATATCCATAACAGTATCTAGTCATAATCATTGTTTTCAGATTATGTTCCTATATGTAGTACTCTCTGAGGACCCTCAAGAAAGCCTAGTAACTAAGAATTTCAAAGTTGAGGTTGATATTTGGGGATCAAAAATTAATTATTAAAAATAGTTAGAGATTAAGAGGGGGGCTTTCTAATCAGACAAACCTAGGTTCAAATCCCAGCTCTGCACTTAGTAGATATGTGCTTTGGATTTGTTCCTCAGTCTCCCTGAGCTAACATAGAGGTTATCATACCTCCCTTCGGGGCTGTCATGGAGACCAAATGAAGATGTGTATGCAAAGCACCTAATGCAGAATAGATGTCCAGGAACCAATAAATAGCTCCTGGTACTTGTTACTGTTGAGAATAGCGAAATATTCATGAAAAGAACTTACTATTGTTAAGTCATTCACAACACAGAAATTTGTCCTTATTGAGTTGGAAAAATAGTGAAATAAATGTAGCATATGGTCTTAAGAACATTTACTTGGATTTTCCCCCCAGAAATCTATGAATTGGTCCTTGGTTGAGGTAGGTTATGAACCTGCTGTTGCTAGGCTAGTGATCAAGGCATTTCTCCCCCCTTTCCCACTCGCCTCTTTTGCCTTCTTTGTGTTATAATTAGAATAAGCTGGAAAATATGAAAAGAGAGTAATTCTGAGATGCTAATAGAAACTGGGATAGCTAGAAAATAGGAAAATGTTTGGCCAAACATCACTTCAGGAATGTATGTAGTTTATAAAGTGAATACTGTTTTAGTTAGCTATTAAGTGAATTAAGTGATTAACATGCGATCACTAACAACACAAAAATGCTTTAAGGAGAAGGGAGATATGTATACACACACATACACACACACTTTTCAAATGTGTGGAAATGCCTTTTTACAGTTGATCTCCTGGAATACCTCCCTGTTTTTACTGCATAGAGTAAGCATGGGTGCATGCTATGTGCTTATGGCCCGAGTTCTGGTTTTCCTTTTGCCCAGCTTCCCATGACGTAAATAATAAGCTTATTATGTGATCTTTGGGTCACCTGAAGAGGCTCAAGGTTAGGAATTATAATGCTTAGATTTATTTATAAATTCCCATTAGTGTATTTACTTTGTCCCTACTGTCCTGTTTGCATATGTCATATACTGCATTGAGATACATCAATAATTATTTCATACTGGATTGTACTTATTCCCAGAAACAGAACTGTATTTCCAGAAGCTTCTCACAGTTCTTTGAGTCATCTTTTCCTGGTATTTATTCCAGGTGACTGATCTGCTTATGGCATTAAAATTTATTTAGATGAAGGGTAAAAGGTGTTTCTCTGTTTTTGAAATAATCCTAATTGAGAATTGATTATACCTCAAATAATAAAAACATAGAATGACTTTCATATTTTATCAGGTTGCAAAGCGCTTTCACATATCCTTAGACCCACAGTCTTCCTTTTATGTGGGCAGCCTAAATATTCATATTCTCCCCCTATTTCATATTTTCTTAAAAGAAAAACCTTAAAATGCATTAGGTTATGGGAATTCTTCTGTAGATTCATTGCTT